TGTGTGCAGCACGGCAGTGCGTCGTGGTTTCTTGCGTGCGTGTAGTTTGTTGCCCAGAGAAAAACAAAAATGACGACGCCTCCCGGGGATGCGTCCATGTGACATATATATTTGCACAAACGGTGTGCTATCTCGAGACACCGACCACGGGTTGCAAAGGTAGCGGTTGAGACAGCTCGGGCAAAATATTACTTGTGGTGCGCGAGTTTTAGTTTGCAATTTGGTGCCGAGATGGTGAAATGGGCTCGAGTCTGCTGGGTATTTAGGGCGCACAGACAGACAGACAGACAGACACCAGACAGACAGACACCAGACAGACAGCCATGGCGTAATTTTCACGCCCCTGTGCATGAAAAATATTCTTTTTCTCGTGCGCACATACTGCACACACGATCCCTCTAAACAGCTTTTTTTTTGCAAAACAAAACAAAAAGCGTACCCCCAACGGGCCACACTTTTCACAAAAAAAAACTATTAAAAACGCTCTAGAGGTGGCTGTGGGATCTGTCGTACCGACGCAAACAAACAGAAAATCACACGAAGGAACACCAGCGCAAAACACGCCCAAACCGTTTACGGTGGAAACACAAAGTACGGAGGACACAAGAACGAATCAGCCAAGAAGCAGCTGTTCAGGCATCGTTGATACGTGAAGAAGACGCCACGAATCTGCAATCAGCGCTATTGCCACTCTGGCACGGAGTTGTTGAGAACGCCTTCAACTTACAACTTCGAGCACAACCAAGCTTTATATGCTTCCTTCTCCGCTACTCCTGATACCACCGCCCAGGGACAACGCGTTTTGCCCTTTCCAGCAAGGGCTATTCGCCTCCACGTTCATGGCTCCCCCGCTTTCGATGTCCTGACGCGTATCCCTTCACGTGTCGTGGGGTGTGTTCGGCACCAACGTGAAAAATTCGCCTTCCTACAGTATGGAGACGAGGTCAGGAGCGGCGCGCGTCCTGCCAGGTGGTGGCTGACTGGGGGGGCTGTTGTTGTGGCGCGGGTCGTCGATCCCACGCCGGTGCTTCTTCCTCGTCTTCGAAGCCATCTACTGCGGAAGCAGCGCTCTTTGTAATGGAGGGGTTGATGGGCGCCGCACGCGCGATCGCTTTGGAAACGCTCGCAGCGCGTTCGGCCCCCCTCACGACTGATTTCTTGAAGCTGCGAGGCTTGAGGTGGGGATCTTGTTGAGCGGCCGCGACGAAGCACAAGGGCCACAGTATGAGAAGAAGATCTGAAGGGGTGGGAGCCAGCGGAAAGGGTGGGAGCCAGCGGAAAGGGTGTGCGGCGGTTGAGATGAAGTCAGGAACAGGTTCAATCGTTCATGAAACATGAGCTGCCGTTACACTCCACGTGATACGCCACAAAAGAAACTAGATCAGAAGCTCTGTTCTCCTAGACACACGGGCGGGCATGACACCACTACAGGGCGAAGAATGTTCGACAATGCCGCCACTGTACTACATGTACCGGTTCGTATTGTCTCACTCACCCCAAAATCCGCCAATATTTCCAAACATCTCGGCGAACTCGTACGGGTTGGACTCTGTGATGATCTCCCAAGAGTCGAACTGCTGCTTCATCTCCAGAGACAGATGCGCGTATGGCGTTGTGATGTTTGGGTTCACCTGCAAAGTGGAAACACGATTGCGGACGAATGAGAAGTGCCGGAGGTTTTGCAGAGCAACTAAACTTAAACATCAACAACATCAACAACTACAACAACAACGACCACAATACGACAGTGACGGAAACAAGATACGAAAGTGCTGCAGCTGCAGGTCAGACGTACCACGTTCTTGTGCACCCCGAAATTCGTAAACAGCGCCTTGTACGACGATTTGTCGTCGTCCATAAACTTCTTCTGCTGGGTGAGCCCAATGCCCTGACACGCCGGCCGCACAAGCACGCGAAGCGCGTAAAAATACAAAGCATGGTGAGATACAAACTGATGACTTGTTTCTCTTGGACACATTAGGCCGCTGTCGTTGCAGGCTCGTCAGTGGGATAATGCAACGCCACACCTCAAAAGCATCCAATGCATTTGAAAATCCTTCGTACGCAATGGTATTTGCATATCGATGGTGATGATGGTAAACGCGTGCTTACACATAAAGGGGTACTTCGTTGGAAGCAGGGTAAACATTAAAGTGGATACGTACGTCGCGGCTACGCACTTACACGCTGATCATTTCCCGCACATCGCCAACCACCAAGACTTTCTCCTCCCTCGACACAGATAGTGTGATGAATATTTGCTCACCATGGTGTTGAAGGTGTGGGTGTTGGAGGTATTCGTGATACAGCTGTAGGACAGGTGTACTCCAGTTGAAATCGCTGAGGGGTCGTCGGGGTCGCTCAGGAAGCCATAAACCCACTCCCTGCCGTGAGACGGAGGCCGAAAACGCGTGGTGAAGCGGTGTACATAGGCGGTTACGACTGAACATGTTGATCATTTAAACCATCGACCGCACCGCGAGGGACACACCTCCTTATGATTTTATCTGCAGGTAAACCAAGGCATCCATCGCGGTGATCAGTTCACGTAAAGGCCGAATCCGCCACAGGAAATGGAAATTGTATCAGATATACACTACCGTGTGTAGAAAATCGATTGTCGGGGAACAATTCAATGCTCCTTTAATATCAGGAAGTCCTTACGACGCGCGAATCTTAATTGCCACTAGCATGTGTTTGACCCAAACTTTCATATTTGTGTGCTGTTTGGCCGTAATAATTCGACTTTTTGGCGAATAGAAATGCGCACATGGTGAGACCATTACCCGTGCAGTAAAACGCGAATACCTCCGTCACGCTTATTGGCGAGCTGGCGGTGGGGAACGCCCGTGACGACGCAAACAACTTGACAGTGCAACTTTCTTCCGTATTCCCTGGTTTGTGTATCATCCCTGGTTGACTTCATACCACAGACGTACGATCTCACGCGCTCCACACACTATCAGCTATCAGCATCCGTCGCTACAAGTTGGGTAAAGACCGCTCGGCGAAACGCGGCGGCTTCCCATGCTCAGATGACGACACCGCCCAAACGCTTACTTTCAAACCGATGTACATATACGCCAAGACGGTATTGTGATCACCCGGTGGCCGTCCCAGGGGCAGGCGGCCGCCATACCCTAGTCACAACAACAACGTATCTTCACCTATGGTCCGTCCACTCTACCCCGTCAGGGACGCACGTCGTAGACTTGCCAGAAGTGCCGCCTGGGTTCCAGTACATCTGTTTGGCCAAAGGCATACACGATTGTCGGGGTGACACAACCAAGATAGCGGTACGAATGGTGGCTCCGAGAATGTTTGTCAACCAATGTGGCCTGAGAGAGCCGTTGGCGACCATATCTACATGTGCCAGAGCGATATGTTGCTTCCATGCATCCAGCCAGTATAGCCGTCAGCTCAATGCGCTCATGCGTGTGAGCAGTTGAAAGCATCGGGAGATTGTTACATTTTTCCCACGGCAACTTCACGCCCCTGGGTCGGTGCTTTACTCACCCCAGCAGACAGTTGTCTGTCACTGCATGTATGGGGTGGTGTAACTCCTCTGTGTGGAACCCAACGTTTGGTTCTTGGCTTGGAGACACATCCTTCAAATCGTTTGTGTCGGGAACCGCTACGCCCTCTGGCTACGGTAAATCTTCAATCATCTGGCCGGCATATAAATACACACGAAACAACAAATATCAAAAACAGTGTGCGCTCTGAGGACAGAAAGGAGAGTCTGCAGAGACGTGGGTGTACTGTGACTGAAAGAGGTCTTGCTGTGGACGTGTGGCGGGCGAAACCGAACTCAACGAAATTTGGGAAACAAGATATTATTGTACACTACTCAGAGTTTCGTGGACCACAAGTGTCGGCGTCCGGCGGTTCAAGTAGCTCACATCCAAAAGGATGTAGTCCAGGAACTCGTGAGGGTCCCGTTCTTGTCCAACGAAGGCAGTCGCAGCCGACGTCCTGAAAATCACGCACTTGCCTCTCCCCTATTGTACAAACCACGACAATGACGCCACCGGATCCGCACGAACGGTACAACAGTCGCACACATCCGAGCGTTTGGAATTCAGCTGCGCTGACGTTTCGCTAGATGGTGGAAAGGCAATGCTCCATGCATCATGGCTCCTTGAAACTCGCCCCTGTTGGCTACAGTGTACGGTGGAGAGCGGCTAGCACGAGGCAGTTCGGCACGGTTAGATTGAATGCGCTTTTGTTCTTCGTTGATGGCGATGCTACGCTCCCACGGATCAGGCACACACGAAACGACCGCAAGGGTCTGCAACAAGGCGAACATATCACGGTCGAGAATAAACCAGGTTTCAGCGTTGCGAGCTTGAATTCTCATGACTGCAGTACCATTTTCTTCCGTGAACGTAGCAACTGAGGACGCTACGGTGGCCTTAATCCTCCCAAATAATGCTTCGGTACGGCAGTGCAGGTAGCCTCTCGTGCACCATCCGATCTTCATATGTTTGTCGGCGAAGCAACTGCAAGGACGGAGGCCGAAACTGGTTTCAAACTCATTGCTCTGCCAGCAACACGGAGGGTGCTAAAACTGAACGATGTTGTTCCGAAAGCTGTTGACGAATGTCACTGACACGCTTCGTGCGGTGAAGATATCGACTACAGAATCGGCGCGCGGGGTACATCTTTCGTCAGGACATGCGGTATATCACCCGCCTGTGCCCGTGATTCGTGGACATTTCATGTGCACGGCGCACGGACAACACCACCGAAAATTCGAAGTAACACCACAAGTCTTCAAGTGAAAACGTGCCCAGCCCAGCACCAAGAAAAACATGACTCAGGAAGTAAGAGATATTTCGAGGCTCACATCCTCCAAGGAGTTCCCCTCGCTGTCAACGTCGGTGTTTTCAGGGATAGCTTCGATTTGTAGTTGCTCCGTCGTGATTTCTTGTTCCTGGTCCAGTTGGACCCTGGGGTAGAACACCGCGTTCGGTACGCCTCCCTCGGTCGTCCACGCAGAATTCACGCACTTCTCCTCGAGTTCCAACTCGTCGCAGCCGTAATTCACGTACAGGCAAATCCAGAGGTCGGGGAACTTGTATACTTCGTTCTGAAATTACAACGGGGTACAGGAAATAAGCCAACAAACTATTGGGTCAGTCGCTTGTTGTTTTGCGTGACTACTGCGCGTCAGCGGGCGAGCGTCGGACACCGTGCACAAGCCTGGGAAGTTCGCGGCGTGAAGTTTGATTTCACAATGCAACGACAAAGTTACTTCACAGGATAGAGTTATATTAGTCTCTTCGGAGTTACAATGCGCGCCCGTAATGACCCAGCATCTACATCCATTTCCCCTCCCACCAAAGAACGCGTGAGCAGCATCTCACCCACACCCAGCGTTTGTCCCTTCGTCATTTGAACCAATCCCAAATTGATTCCCAGCACCCATGTTTCGCCAGCTATTACAGCATAATAGCAAACAAGATCTGACAACGTTGGCGAAGCAACGATAGAAAAAAAAATGCGTTTCTGCATAGGCACGGCACCAGGTTGGCGATTGCTTCCGACGTGGAACCTAGTAGCCCAGGTTGAAAGATAGGGACACATGCCTCACCGTCAATAGGAAAGACGTGTCGGGTGCCTTCGCCTTCTCCGCTGCCTTGTAGAACAGCCAGCCGCAATCTGGGAAGTCACAGACGCAGACAAACCCATAAGAAGGGTGGCGAGTGATGCGATTTCATCAGTTATGTAGACTATGTAGTACAGAACAGGTGGTGTGGACACATGAAACGTTACCACAAGCCACAATCACTTGGTTACCCGGGGTTTGTGATTAGTTCGCAGCAAAAGTGCACGAGGCTATTCAAACGTCATGGTGGTCGGTGTCTTGGGAATCATGAGTAAAGGCCTCGGGAATCGTTGAAGGTTGATAGTGCCGAAGATCCATCGATAGTTTCTACTGTTGACGCGTTTGTGCTCGGTACTCGATTGACTGTCTGCAACCGTGATGAAACATATGTGCATCTATGGTATGCGGTTTAGGCCCTCTCGAGTTAGTTGTGTCGATACGCTCACATGATAAGATGGCGGCGACCGACACCGTCCAAACCACCACCGCCCGACGCCTGTGCGATTCAACCACCTGGCCCGGCTTCCTGCGATTAGCGTCGAAAACCAAACAAGATTATACATCAACTTATCAGCGGCAGAACGGAAGTCATGCAGGACACAAGCAGTGATGCGCCGGCCCAGCTTGTGTCGTTCCCGCTGCGGGCGCCATCTGAATAAAGTACGGGCCCGCAGATAAGAAACATCAAGATCGGGTCGAGCCTCAATCCCATATTTTGGGTCAAAGGACCAGCCGAAGTCGGCCGTTTTTTTCTTCTGACTGTCGCATCTTCCTGATTCTTATATTTCATTCGTCTAGTTTCTTTTCTGGCTGGGAAGACAACAACAAAACATTCATGCAGCATTATATCCAGAAAGCTCGGTGTGGCGAACGTTGGGGGTTGTCGCACTCCGGAACTTCCCGATTCCCTCCTCTTCGTCCACCTGTAGCAGCATAACGCCCCAACGGCCGTGGCTTCGCCCGTGCTATACGAATCCAATGGCAACTCCACACTGCGTGTGCCTTTATCAGATAGATACCAAAGGTAGCCCGCGGGAAGATGCGAACGCAATCCGTGCCACTACGTGTTTGTAAAGTTACATCAGTTACCGATTTTTCACCGTGTTGAGTCTTCTGGGCTATGTGCGCAGCTCGCAACGAAGTCGTCACCATTTACCATGCAGTACGGGCCCGCAGATAAGAAAAAGTATGGTTCGAAAAACAGGCTCAAGTTTCACGAAAAACACGAAAAGGGCCTAAGAAACACAGCTAGCTCAATCTCGGCCACAACGTAAGAAAGGCAAAAATATATATATATACATGGTGCGTCAAACTTGGCTTGGGTTGAATCGGTGGAGTCATCACTCGTTGAGTTACTCAAAGTTCGCGTCACTACAACGACTAACGCTCTATCAAGCTGCAGGTTGATGGCTCGAGGTGGCCGCGCAGATACACGGGGAAGCCAACGTCACCGCAGCAGACTCTCTCGCTTTTCGTCCCGAAGGGCCGGTGAAACTATTTTTGGCTCACTCACTCGCATCAGGTTGTATGATGCTTCTGTTCTAACCGAATCGGTGAAAGGAGCACGTAGGTTGTTTTGGCCCTTGCTCTCTTCACCGATCCGTACATCTGCAAGAACAACCGGGACTGTGAAATTTTCCGAGAACTTTTTATCGATTAGACCCACCCTAGTTGCAGCATTAATGTTGGGGCGTGATGGAATGGACGTGAGAATGTTTAGATCTGTGAGCAGGGCTGAGTTTAGTTCTGGTTGATATATCGCCAAATAAGGGCAACGATGGAAAGTGTATGAGGTTGCGACGAATGCCTTAGGATCTTGACGACGGGTAGGTTTATGGTTGAAAAGTGGGGGGGGGATGGAGAGAGACAGAGTGGTGACGGGTGCTCTCCTGTTCAGTGTTCGACATCCCTGCTGTACCCTGTCCAAGAAGGTCCAAGAAACCCTCTTTGATCACAGACACCTTCGAGGCGCGCACACGCACGGCCCCACCCACTGGCACATCCACACACACATATCTACGCGCGGGAGGCCACCGCCGGCCGATTCTACGTATCCAAGTAGTCTCTTTTATGTTTGTTGCGAGGGCTTTCTTAGCGCGGACCACCCCTCCGGGGAATAGAGCCAGTTTTTCAACTTTGGGCGTTACGCACACGTGCCACGGGTGGCTGGTGGTCCTCGGGCGTGCGTAGAAATGTACCGACGCCGCCCCTGCGTGCCCCTGAGAATGAAGCGTGAGAAGAGTCTCGCTTCCGCCAGCGAAAGATGTCTCGAAGCACAAAAACAGGCGAAATAAGATACATAAAATTGCAGCATGTAATTTTCCTTTGTGGCGAGCGGGAAGAATTCCACAAATAAGTACATTTCTAGCGGGCCGCTCACAGGCCAGCATTCGGATTTTTAGGGCTCTCATACGCCGCCATTTCTTCCATCCATTTCCCTTGAATTTAGAGTGGGTTATTTCCGGCTTTCTGTTTCCGGCATGTGTTTTCCGTATTTCTCCCGATTCTCCGGTAGCCCGCGATCACGCTCTCGCTCCACAGCCGCTCTCTCAGCTGTCTACATGGAGTGCTTACGACGTCGTCAGGTGACGGCTTTTGTTTTTCTGTCTGTCTGTCTCGCGCTCTGTGTGTGTGTCTCTCTCTCTCTCTCTCTCTCCCCCCTCCTCCCCCCTCGTTCTCTCTCATTCTCAGCTCACACGCACTGTGTCGAGGCCTCTGGCGGAGTTCCTCGCGCGCGCACACACACACTATGAAAACTTTCAACCCGTCCAGATCTACCCTACTTGCTACTGCATTTTCAACGTATGGTGGCCTTGGCCAAGGCACCAATCGATTAATCGTAGCTATCGCCACCACTTGGCCTACGACGCTTTTTGCAGTGGGATTTTTGACGACGAAACAGTCTTGATTTGACTGAAAGGCTTACCATACTATGCAACAGAATCCGGAGAGCTGGCTCGTTTTCTGTCGGTACGAAGTAAGGATGTTTCAAACGTCATGGACTACTGATCGACCAGTCTAGTTTCCACCACGGCCAATAGGTTGGGCTTTCAGTAGTAGTTCTGGTGAAAGCGAATATGACGGTATTGAAGGTAGGTATTGTGGGAGTGATGGAGATGAAGGAAAGGGAAAGGAAAGAAATGATAATGAAGGCGATGATGGAGGGGGAACACATGGCGTATAATATGCAATGGGTTTGAGCCAGATGACCTTCCTCACGACAACGCCGCAGGACTGGAGAGGACCTGCCAATAAGTAATGGGGATAGTGGAAACGAGAGTGGTGGTAGTAGCTGCAGGGACGACAACAAAAGCACTCCAAAACGCACGCGCATTCAAAGGATTAGTAGCCATAGCAAACACGTGCAGTTTTCTTCTGTTATTGCTACGGTATCTGTTTTTAGTCCGGAGAGTAGCGTAGACTCCACCATGAAAACCGGTCACAAGGTCCCAGATCGTGGGCTGTAGAAGCATTGTGTTTTCCACCGCACTGAGACAAACATACTTTTTTTGGTTAGTCGGTTAGCCACGGTCGATGTTATGAAGAACGACACACGCACTATGATCAGCGCGCGAGTGCTCGCAACATACATGCGGACACACACACGTAGATGTGAGTGACTGCCGGACATCTCCTACCTGTGTTCCGCATTTATTTCGCAATATGATACGCTGGCAGTATTGTTGATTATTTCCCAAACAAAGCATGTTACCCGCCGCCGCCGTGAGGTTAGAATAAATCTATGTGCTACTGTATGCACACTGTACACCCATCGCCAGGTAGAAGGTAGAGGGGGTATCATGCTGTAGCCGATTTCCGTTGAGCGTATCAAAATGACCACTGCTGCGGCGGTGGCACGTATCTTTGATGAGTGTTTCGTGCATTTCATTGCCGCAGACGAGATGTATTTATTCGCGGTATGTATTTTCAAACTAGAGTTGAGCATCGCCACCCCCCCCCGTCTACTGGGGGGGGTCTCCCATACTTTCTACAGTTTTGAAAAAACGCCAATGGGACACCCATGGGCAGCCCGTGGGTCACCCATGGGCCGCCCAAGGGTACTTTGTTGCCCGTGGGGCACCCATGGTAAACCCATGGGTAGCCCGTGGGCAGCCCATGGACGGCCCATGGGCAACAAAGTGCCGATAGGTCACCCATGGACTGCCCATGGACCGTTTGGGAAAACTATAGCAAGTGTGGGAGACCGAATCCCCATGGGGTGAAAAATATTCCAATTTGTGGGTGAAAGCGAACAGACTGAACATGTGCTGCGATGGCTTGTATTTTTTTTTTTCTTGACAGTTTCGGACTGAGGCTCCAAATTTACTGAAATAAGGAAACAGATTTTGAGTTAAGAAAGTTTCCTGGAAACTTCCTGGAGGCGAATATTTTCCGATTTAAGGTCTGCAGGCTGGGGCGAAAGTGATTGGCCGGGGTGGACAGTGGCCTGACAGTCCCCCTCCTTCCGTGGCTGCTTGCTGCCCTGCTGCGGGAACAGCTGTCTCTTGACAGAGCGCTCTGCAGCGCTCCCACTGTTGAGTGTGTGGGCGAGGCTACCATGTCCCGTCTACGTATTCGCGAACGAATCGAGCGCAAAAAACGTGTTCGGTCATGCTTCGATGCCGTAATCTATTCGAAGTCTACACCGATATATGGTTCGTGTACATGATCTCTCCGCCTCCCCCCTCCTCCCCTCCCCGGGGGAGGCCGAGGCCCGCAAGTGCAGTTAACCCTCGAAAAAACCACCCAACAACGACGGATATACGGTCCCTAGCACCGTGTAGGAGAGGATCCTGAGTTTGGCGGTCGGGAGTTACCGCGGTCACGAGATCGAGGTAGGTCGTGATAAGCCAACTTGGAGACAGCTGCCGATGGGTTTGAACCCAAATGCCCCGGTTTGGACACCGGGGCAAGGCAGCGGTGGAGAGCACGGAGAGGGTGGCGGGATGATCGCACACCGTGTGGGTAAGCACCCAACAGGGGGACGGAAAGGGTCCAGAGCTGGAGAGCCACGCCGCTCCGGGACAGGAAGACACCTCGCTGGGAAAGGCAAGCACCGGGTTAACTCTTACATTAACCCGAGGATCCGCAGAGCAATAAAAATAAAGAAAATAAAAAA